GCGCGCCTCATAGTGTAGATATGCCTGCGCTGCGATACCCTGGCGGTAGAAGGCGACTTCGGCGGGAGATATACCTGGATGAAGCATAGATTCCATCACCGTCTGGTCTAGGTATTCCGGTGGGAGTTCTGGTTCAATTACGAATGGTGGTTCGGGTATCGGACTGTTTGCGACTGGCCATGGCACTACTGGCTGAGCCACCGGAGGATTTGCAACTGGTAGAACACCCGGGCTATTTGAACCTGCAGTCGGACACATGTCGTGTTCATTACCCAACTTCACCATCAGTGCCCTAGCTTCCCACTCATATCCGTCTAAGTTTGCTGTACGTTCGATATCTCCTTGTTAGTAACCAATAGCCTCAGGCTCCCCCCGTGACAAAATCAGCAGAGTTACTAACCTACTACTTTCATAGCTTCTTCCCTCCCCCTAACCCTCGCATACCCAAACCCTCTGGACCGTCCGTCAGGAGTGAGATAAATTTCGGCCCTCTCAATGCTCGAAGTGTGTTTCCGGACGAGGTCCTTTAGATCTTGCCACCTAGCTTTCCACGGCAGCTAGAAATCAGACAGTCAGCTCCTTGATTACATATTGTAATGCCAATGAGGATGTACATTGCCGAAAAGAACTATATAGCCCTCGTGCGTGCTCTCTGCACGCCTCTGCATTACGATGTTTCCCATAGTAGTTAAATTATCGGTAGTCGCGTTTTCGTCTTGAGAATTCGAAAATCGGTCGACCGTCTCCTCCATGTGGTGACTCGAAGGATAAGTCGTCGAAGGTTTTCGGGTTGGTTGAGATTTCCTGAAAATTGACTAGCAATTTTACCAGGAGTGTGGTCAAATGCCAATACGAAAGGGCCCCAGGGTGGTTCCTGGCTGTATATAACGTTCCTACAAGAACCACCGAGTATCTAGAAAAGAAAAGAAAAAGGAAGGAAAAAGGAAGGAAAAAGTGGAAAAAAGAAAAAGAGAAGAAAAATCCAAAAGAGGCCTGTCTTCAACTCAAAACTGTGTTATGAAAACTTATAGCGTAAACTTAGCAAATGGTTATTCAGAAAGTGTGAACCACTTGGGAAAACAGCAGCTCCCCCCGAAGGAAAGAATTGGTGACTTGGATGCACTGACCTTCCCGCCACCGCATAGCTACGGTTTTCGCCGCCTAGGTCTTGGACGGGAAATCGGAAAGGCGATTCCATACTGTGCTCGATCTAATTTTAGTTGTTAGCTTTTCCTGGCGAGTGAGATAGTCGTCAGGCCCAGGCCCATTCAGTATCATACTGTTCCTCTTGCTGCTTCACCCACACAGTTGGTTGAATGTCATATCAGGTATTTATTACCCCTGTCTGAGTTTTGTCTTAGTCTATGTGTGATACTGCAGCGTTGTTAGCCCCATCCTCGGCGAGGGATTTCACAAGGACTGTATCGTATGGTATCAATAGAACATCAATTGTTTGCTTCGATGAATTTTCAGTCAAGTACCGGTAAAAGGGTGATAAGTTGCTGTAATAGGTTCTATTTTATACAGTATGTCATGTCGCAAAAAATTGATATCTTCCGATCTCAAGGCGCATCAAGCGGGGTATAATGATCGAACGCTCTTTCCCACCAGATATTCAATAAACCCTTCCATTTCGTGACATGCGTTGTCTCGCCGAAAGCCCTGAAATTGTTGAGCAAATCATAAATAAGGAATCGCTAAAACCTTTAAGCGCCCACCCGTGTCGAGCCCAGCAGTGGCTTGTAAGCTCCCCCCTCATTCAAAAAAAACTGTAAAAGCACGGCACCTGTACGAGTGTGGTACTGTACACGGTAGCAAATGGCATCTCCAATTTTGATTTCAGAATGTAAATTTCACTGGCTCTCGCAGACCTACGGTACTGTACAGTACTCTACTCGTACCAGCGCCTACGATAAAGCTCCGTCAACCGCCAGCAAATGCCTGGCGTCACAGTTATTATTATTATTATTATTATTATTATTATTATTATGTATCATTGCGCTTGTGGAGCCTTAAGGGCTATGAAGCTAGCTAATGCCATATGTGATAGCGGGGGCTTACCCGCTTGCCAGATACTCCTTCTCCCACAGGCCCTACCGGCCTCTGGACAAATACCCAAGTACAGAGGCCTACAGGAGCTTTGCATCTTTAAATATTCTCCATATTTTCATCTTCTTGTTCCTCCTCGGATTCTTCACTGTTGGCGTCACAGTCGGAATACTGCTGTACTCGAATACATGCTGATCCCTAGAATTGCAAGATATTGTAGTGTTACGGAAGCAGTTTTTTTTTTTTTTTTTTTAACTCGGAGGATATTTCTGTATATCTTAGCAATGGCCACCCTGGTATTCCGATACCGGTACCGCAACGAATTACTAGTGAAGGACTATTGATCATAGATTATAATAATGATATGATGGTGTTATGCAGATGTTGGAAACTCAGCGCATTTCGTACTTCGAATCGAGTACTAGTACAGTCGCACCTCGCTGTCCCGGAACTCTCAGAACCGGATTCCTTGCTGAACCGTAGAAATTCTGTGGCAGGTCCGAATTTGTATATAAAAGTACCGGTTGAACCGAAAAACAAGGATATTCGGATTCGTATGATATGTGAAGCCCAGTCACCCCTGCTCCCATATAATTTAATTCTGCTGAACCGAATATCTGTGGTAAAAGTCATTCTACTTGGCAAACTATGCTCACCCAATTTTTTAAGCCCGACTGTGTCAACCTAGAACCGCTGGGCATGGATGAGAAGGGGGTACAAGGGGGAAGTACCTTTGTTGATCTTGAGGTTGAATGTCGGTATAATTGGATTAGCAGTGAGGAGGATGATGCTGGAGACGAGGAACAGGATGATACTACCTGTGTCCCAACTAAATGGACAACTCGGAATGTCAAATACTGCCTATGAACGATTGTTAAGATAGATACACTTTGTACAACTTTTATAACGAGAAATTATCACATGAATAAATTAGGCATCTCTCCACTATGCCGCTGATCCGGACAAAATTCCTGGATTTTGGCCATCCGGGATAGCGAGGTGCGACTGTACAATACCGTACCGATAGACTAGTCGTATCTCTGCGACCTTGCATCAATCTAAGGTTATCGTTCTCTTAGAGTAGTTACTGAGATAATTGGTTTCACTTCTCCATTTTCTCCCATTACTTTCTCCGTGACCAAGCGAGGCCGATACCAGTAAATGGGCCGTGCGGCTGCACCTTTCCGATATCTCACCAAAAACCCCATGGATTCCAGGGTTTTCCTGCATCTGAGAGTACTCAAGTACTTGGTACGGGTATTACCGTGAGACATCTGGAAACTCTTAGCCATATTTAGGGCTTGAGATATTTACTGCTCATTGGACTCTTGTAATTTGATCGGGCTGCCAAGAAGCTACCTGGAACGGGCAAACGGGAGGATAAACCAGGGTCAAGGTCGAGATTCTCTGGGATCTGCAAACCATCAAACTTTCTGTATTATAGGCCGGTCAACCAGCTCTAAATTCTCGTCTCCAGACACTATTATCAAATTGTCACTATTAAATACTCGTCACATTAGAAGATTTCCCTGAAAATAACACCCCAGTCCCTTTGGGTCGCCGGTCGACTCGAAGAATGGGCCGGATTGGTAGCACAAGACACAAAGGGTCATTCAACCTCAAACAGTATCGTTACCCCTGTATACAATTTGAGAAATTTAGGAGCAGTTCAGTAAAAAAAAAAAAAAAAAAAAAAAGGTAAATTAATTTGACTGAAGTTCTTAATCAGACGATAGTTCAATTAAGCTGTAGAGTAGAGTAAAATACTGTACTGTATTCAACTGCACCACCAAACCTCATCAACTGCCGTATTTCTCAAGGAATTTGCCACGATATAGGCTATTCACAACAAAGGCGTACAGTAGACCCTCGCTTAACGGGCCCGGAACTAACCAAGAAAACCTGCCCCGAAACCTTGGTTCGAGCTCCATCTCAGACCTTACTGTTACAGGACAAATACACCGTCCGGTAGCGAAATCCAAGAACAGGAGAACCACCCCAAAAAACCCATTGCCCAATAGATTTTAACCAGGAAATAATGTTACAAGTCTCCTTACACCATCTCTCGGCCTTATGTGTATTACAGGTCATATTTTTCTCTGTTTCAGTACCTATCTCCATTGTCTCCTCGAGTACCGTACAGGAATATTTTATTCAAGCACTGGTTTCACAGAGACATCGCCCCAATTTTCATTCAGCATTTCCATTTGAGCGATGCGTGCAGCAAACCAATTAAAATTTTGAAGTGCTTGGGTGGTTTTACGAGAAGGCCGAAGGGGTGGAAGGGACGAATTACCGTATGCAAGTACTCGTTCAGGAATTGCCGTAATCAAAAAAGCCATTAGTGTAACAAGGGATTAACCCTCGTAAGGGGTGCTTGGCTGGGAAAACACAGTGATACGGTATTGAAATAAGTGCCGCAACGAGCAAGAGTCGTCATGGGCCGTCACTCGTCGCCTCATATCTAAACGGCCATCAAAAATCAAGATTTTTGTCATGCAAGTTTTATCCGCCTCCCCTTTCCTGCATTACTCGAGCTTAACTGTCTTGGCCATATTCCACACCTCATCACGACTTCGACCTTTTCGTCTTATGCTTGTGGACCCAACCGCCAATTTCAGGCAGTTAATCCTGAGTGCATGACATCCCAAATTAGGAGGAAAAAATGTGGATAGCTAGTTGACCACTCATATTTGACTGTTCCTCTTTGGTCCAGCATATGGAGCAGTCGATCCGGTTACACCACTGATTTCGTATCCTCGAGGCGGTAATGTTGCCGCCTGTTCTTCTCTCTAACAACCGCTGGTGCTATTTCATTCTTTCCTCATCTACGAGCGATATATTCGAACATTTACTTATCTTCATAAGAATACTTGCCAAAACACACTCGAAACTAGCTAATGCTTCCTGGCATCACGGCTCTTGATAATCCACGGCTAACTGCTCTGGTCGGTTGCGTGGCCCAATGGCAAGGCACTTGACTACGATTCGTCGGACATAAAGAGATTGCAGATCGATCCCTGCAGCAGTCAAGAGTTTGTTTGTCTTCGCTCATGAGAATTAACCTTCTGACTCTAGGCTATCTTGCTATCTTCAGAGAAGGGGAAATTCAAGACAGGCTAAGTTGTAGGCCAATAAGATCCCTGAGAGCTCGACTACCAAGATATATTTTGAATCCAATTAATGTCTGATTAACTTCAGGATCAACCATGTCGTAAGGCTCCAGATTGTGGTCTACGGTCACCAATTCAATTGGAATTGACCAAAAAGATGGTGGTGATAGCTGTTTGTGCCTAATATACTGTCCTACCGTTCAGGCCATCTAAAACAAGGCTAGGGGAGTTCGAAAGTAATCAGAAAGGAAAGAAAAAAAAAAAAAGAAAAAACCCTGATCCACGGTTGACGGAAACGGCAAGGGAGATTTCTAATGAAAGCCTCCGGATGGGGATTATCTGAGAAAATCTTCGATTTATCGCATCGGAGCGACCGATGGGTATCAACTCCTATCCTCCTACCTCCTGCTTTTACTGAGCGGCCCCTAATATCACAGTATTCTTGTGGTTCGCTGAATGGTGTGGAAGGGCCTGGTGGTGATGATTATCATAGAGGGAGGGACTGGATTGAGGGATTTTCAAAAAATAAAAATTGAATCCAAATTCCATACCGCATACACATACCTGCTCTCGCGAACCAGACGGAGAGTTATTCCTAGACCGGAAAATATCAGAAAATACTGTACAGTTGACTGCCGCCCTACGATGAAGAGGGTGGCCGCCTGAAGGAGAGTTCCCCTAGCTGAGCTGCGTGCGGTTGCACGACCCCATGGGCATTGCTGTAGGGTTTCAGAATCCACAAAGACGTATCCAGTAATCACGAGGCCACGCGCCCATGGCTAGAGCAGATGAGAATTCATTCATAGCTTTAGTTGAGCTCACTCGGTATCGAAGCTGCCCCATTTGCGGGAGGGGAGGTGCAGGATATGAGATATACCACGTCAACTTAATGACGGGGATCCACAGAACGCGTGGGAAGGCATATGTGCACAAAACCTGCTTGCGGTAAATTTGGGTTGTACTGCCCGAGTGATCTACTATGATCTTTCCAAAGGCTTCAATTTTTACCAGGGCAGTGAGCTGGCGGGATTTCTCGCATGACTATTGGCAATCCTCTATCCAGATTTCTGGAGGACACTAGCAGTGTCCGCGTTATGCTTTTCACTGAACCACGCCCTTGTGGAACCCTTCTCCCGTGTCTTTGGTGTGGCATTTAAAATCGGTGTTTGCAGCCTTCCGCCTCCCAATATGCCGAAAACTTGCTTCATGCATCAGAGCCTTGAGTGATGGACTTTGCTACGCTGTCTCTCGGATAGCCATCCATTGCTCTTCAGAAGCTGAGGCCTTCCTAAGATCCCTAGGATTTCAGGCAAAATGGACGTTGCGTATGAATCTCCACCACTCTGCGGGGAGGTGCGATACCTTATCACCAGCTGGTCTCATGACGCATTATATATCCTTTGACGGTGGTCTGTTTATAAAAGTGCTATGCGCATTTTGTACGGAAGGTCGTGGCCACCTGAGATGGGCTCGGGACGATACTTTCCATATCAATAGCCGTCTCACATCCACACTCTTTCCCAGAATCGAAATCTCTGGTGCCCAATCTTGCGAGAAATCAGGATTCTTAAACATACTCGGGTACCAGGGTTAGTCCGTGAACGCTTCCAGTAACTGGCCGTGGCTCGTATGCAGCTAAGCCTGTAACTTGCGAAAGAGAAGAAATTCCGTGAACGCTTCGCCATTTTTTATTTGCTTGGAGGGCTATCTATGACAACTTGACCAATTCAACAGTGACCACGGACTAACCCTGGTATCCGAGTACATGCCATGCAGTCTAGTTTTTAAGGTTGTTACGTACTCCTCTCTGTCTTCAATATTCTGGTCAACCCTTCTTTGCTCTCCAGAATGGAGAATCCTCAAATCCTCCGGCGCTCTTCGGCCTCTTCCACCGGTCTCTTTACTGTTATCTCGATTTCGTGGCTTATTTGTCCTAGCATCACATCATTCTAACAAAATCTTGAAATATCAGTGTATTAGTGTACCCAAGGTGAGACACTGATACCCGTATCCCATTCCGTTAACCCGCCGCCGCCACCATCCATCTCAGCCATGATCCATCCTATGACAACCAATAAAATACCAAATACAAAAATGAACAATCGGAGTAACCAAATTGGGCTCACACATCCGATCAACTCTTACTTTGTTTGAATCACTGGTAACGTTCTGTCACCTGTCATGATTAACTATAAGAAGCCCGTGCACACGGAAAATACAGCAAGCCTTTACTCTGGGGATCACATGGGAACACGACTTTAACTTATCGGTATTCCATGAGGAGTGACTCTTAAAGGTGGCAAGGTGGCATTTTTTGGTAGCTATCGCAAGTCGCAGCCGGCCCGCTCGTGAATTAACAACTGTACAGTACATCCATCATAGCATTGTATCTAGTACGGTACTCGAGAATAGATGTTTCGAGTTTAGCAATTCACCTCCTAGAGCACGATAGACTCAGCACCTTACTTTTTACATTCACCTTTCCTCCTTCTTTGATCCCTTGCAGCCGAGCCAACCGGATTAACAATGAAAGAAAATGTCACGGGGTCCATGTTTAAGTTGCTCATAACTTCTGACTACTCTCATCGACAGTTTGTAGAAATGTCAACCCGCCTTCTACATATGGCTCCCTGACATTTGAAGGTTGGCTAAGAAACTGTCCCTTACCTCGAGCCTGGCACCTGAAGTGTAGAACTTCTTCGCAATATACTATAATAACCGCACCAACCGCATGGAAATACGGAGCCCAGAGTGCAATACCAGTACTACCAGTATACTGCGGATCGCCAACCTGAATCAAACATGTTGTTTTCAACTAACAAAATCTAACTCCTACCAAGAAAGTTAACACAAAAAAAGAACATGCAGATATTCTGTCCGTGCTAGGCCCCAACAACCCCAATACATATCCTTCTCTCTCGGAAACGCACTTCTAGCAGTATGACAAAATAAGTAATCCCGTCATGTTCAATACGGCTTCCCGGTGAATCTTGGAGGGAGGTCTAGTTTGGTTCTCCCCACTTCCGATTGGTGATTTATAAGACGGCCGTGCGTCGCGACACCGACTTTATTATGCAGATCTACCTTGAACAGAGCAAGAGAAGGGGGGGATGAGGACTGTACGAGCACTCCAGTACCCCAACTTTGAATCCCTAGTGATGAGCTCACTTCGCGCACGTGGCTTCTGACAGCGCACATAACACCATGTGTGTGTTTGGCTTCAGATCGTCTATCAAATAAAAGTTTCTTAATGCTCATCCACCAGCACAGGAAATTAGGTGAAGTTAACGGTAATAAATTTGATTGAAAGCGTAGATAATGCTCTCACGATTTAAGTTAGGAGAATAAATTTAGATTTGAACCCACGATAACTAACTGCAGCAAGGTGAGACGTCCTCGTCGTGGGGTGTGGCCAGGACACGCACCACCCACCAATGAAATTGTTTTTCTTTTTTTTTTTTTTTTGGTGTGAAGGGCTACATAACTTGAATAAAGTGCGTACAGGATTCCACAAGACCGCTATTATGAACCTTCTCACGATATTAGAGATTTGTTGTATCGCGGGATAGGAATACTGTCTACTTTATTTTATCATCCTAGGTTTTTTTGTCCTTGTAGGCACATCGCCTCACTTGCTCCCAGACCAAAGCATGTCAAACAAGTACTTGTAGGGCCACGATAACAACGATTTAGCAGATATGATATCTAATGATCACTAAGTTAGATCCAGAGCCAAGTAACCCATAAATGTACAGTACTTGGGGGGTAGGGAAAAGTCTGGCGAAGTCTTGGCTGCCAAACACAGAAATTCTGTGAGCCACATTCACCAGACTTACCCCTACCCCCGTAGTACATTTTGCCTAGTATGAAACTCTTATCATCATCATCATCATCATCATAATCATAATCATCATCATCACCCACTACCACCACCATTATCTCATCATCATCGTACCCAACTTTTCAAATTATCTCTAGTGCCGGTGCCTATAACTTAAACTTAAACTTGGTGTCCGCCCCCCCTTCTCCGTGTAGCTAAAACCCCAACACAATGCCAGCAAAATTGGGGTTCTACCTTAGAGGTTCACAGACCTATCCAAGTGCCCACGTGAACTATCAATGGTAGTTTATGTATCTTGGGAGGGTATAAAAGAGTTTATCTTTGCAATGAACGCAAAGAATAAACAGGTCCTAGGGCGGTGATTGTCTGACTCTAAAAACAAAGCCCCACGCGGGGGTCGAACCCGCAACCTTGAGATTAAGAGTCTCACGCTCTACCGATTGAGCTAGCGAGGCATGTCGAAGTGCTGGTGCAGTTGCCATGAAATCATGCTGAATCTAATAAAATTCAACCCCAGGTTTCGATCATGTTTTTCAATTCGGTTGAGTGTTGCTCTTATTGGACGATTCAATGCGCTCTTGTTTCAACTCATGTTAACAGAAAATAAATAACACCAAAATCATAACCGCGATTAATTCCTTAAGTAACACCCCACGTATCCTAAGAATGTAATACAGTACATTTATGAAAGGACCTATAAGGCTTGTTGGATTTGATTAACGGCAGCAAGTAAAACCCCTCTCAGCTTTGCCGCCAAAAAATCCCTTAAATTCAGCCATTCATAAAAGAGTTATTTGAAAGCCATTCAACCAAACCAACTAGACCAACCAAGGCCGCCCTATGATGCTACTGCCGCAGGAGTTATATTCACATCTCACATAAACATTTAAAAGGGCAGTCACCACACAACAGTCTCCAAAACCCCCGTGCACCGCCAGTCCGAGTTCCATATTGCTAGTAGGTTCGCCTGCACCTCCTATTTAGGGCACGTGTGTAGTGACGGCGGTTATCCCTTCAGTTAGCCAATAAATCGGATATCGAATGTTTAGTATCCTCCAACTCCACTGCACATAAGACC